TGAACTTTCACAGCCCTCATAGTTTATCAAGCCACTCCAAGGCTCAGCATCTTTCCATATTTTTGAGTCCTCTGATTGCCTCATCAACCATCTCTTTGACCTTTGTTTTATGAATCCAGTTTCAGAGTATAGCTTTTGCTGCTTCTTTGTTCTTGGCATCTTTGATGGCCTGCCAGATCCATTTGATGTTGAATGGTTTAAGCCATGTGGTCAGGCTCTCTGCCTCTGTTCAGCCCATAGGTGCTTGAGTTTTTTCCTTCTTTTGCAATTCTTTGGTGTGCAGAATAGATAGCAGAGGTATATTCAAATGCATAGATAGAGCAGTCATAGGCATAACTACAGAAACACTATTAGTCCATCTAGCAGCTATCATTTGCACACCATGAAGTCCTTTGGCCAGTTCAGTGGAATTGCTCACTGGCTGGCCTCATCTTTTACTTCTTCAATCTTGTTTTCTGTCTCCAGATTCTCTTCTTTCTTCTGTAATTCAGTGACCTGGGCCTGAATGTCTTCTTGAGTCCACTTCTTCTTTAGGCAGTTCTTGGCCATGTGGCCTTTTTGTCTACAGTTGAAGCACTTGCCTTTCTTCTTCATCCAGTCAATGTCTATCAGCTTTCCTGATCCCATATAAGTAGTCCCTGTCCCTGTCTTTTGAGCACTGTATGTGGAGGCCATCAAGGGTTCCAATGATTTTCCAGCAGTTGTCTCTGATGTCTTGGAGTTGGTCAGAGTTGGTGGTGTCAACTTCTTTGAATAATCTTGTAGTGTTGTGGATTCTGCTTTCTGCCTTTGTCACTTTTTATATATCTCAATGATTCATTCCTTCCACTCATTATACCCCACCAGCATCAAGGCTCTGATATCAATGGCTGAGATCATTATAACATATGAGAAGGGGACTCCTCTCTTGAGAGCCTCCACCATTTGTCCATTGTTTGCTGTGTCATCCTGAATTCTGATGAGCTTCATGAGGTGTTCTAGCTCATTGAAATAGTCCATTGCTGCCTTGTCACCCATCTTATACTCCTTGATCTTCTGTTTATATACCTTCTGTACTGCCAGATCAATGAATTTATTGTGCAGCATCTGTTTGAACACCAGCCATGAGAGGTATCGATAGTGCTCATGAGTTGTCAATCAGAAGTTTGGGAAGATAAGAATCCACCATGTCTTTGCCTTTTTCTCAAGATAAGAGGCAGCAAAGACCACTTTGTTCATGTCAGTCTCTAGATACCCTATGTAGACTTTGAAATACTGTTCACAGTCTATGAGGAACCAGTCAATGTCATCAAATGCCCTCTTGAAGGAGTGAGGTTTCTGCAGGAGGTCTGGGTGGCATTAAAGGACTGCCACATCATTGGATAGTGCATCCATTGGATTGGGCCAGTCAGAGAACAGGGGCTGCCACCATTCTTGCATGGTTTAGGGAATGAATAGAGTGAATTGTTATCTGTGACTGGACTTTCTCATGGTGGTTCCTCCTTTCAGATGATGACTCTATCCTGAATGGTGAACCTGAGTCATATGGCCTTGGGGTTGTCTCTGATCAGCTCTTTTCTGGTGCTACTCCTGCTTGCTTCATCAGGTGGAAGCTGCACTCCTAGTACTCAGCTCTCTTTGCCAGTCTAAGGGTTTTGGTACAAGACCAGTGGGTTACTTGACTGTGGTCAGGATCTGATCAGCCAGGTTGCCATTGATTAGGATGAGAGGGTGGAGTATGAACATGTACTCTGGATAGATGGTGCCATGTATATGGCCCACTTCAGAGTGACAGGTGGTGACCATGGCATTGGTCATATGAGTTTCAGAACCTGGTAGGCTGGTGGTCTTTGAATCTGATTCTTGAGATGTTTCTTGTTGTATTGTATCACAGTGTAGTCAGTCACCACATGCCTTAAGATTTCTGTTCTTTCATTAGATGTGGAATGCAAATATAATTGTTCCATTTGCGATGCTATTCAGGTAGTATTACACCATAAAAAGTTCACTCTCTGCAAGTAGAACTCTTGGTACTCCTGTGTTCTTGCTTTCTGGATTGCCTGCTCCAATTCTTCTTTATTCATGTTCTCCTGCAGTCTATAAGTGAGTTCTCCCCTAGCATAAGGTGGGTCACTGCTTTCAGTTTCCTTGCCTTTCTTATCCTTGTTGTCCTCCTCTTCCTCCAGAAGAGAAGTGGCAGACAAGTTATAAAAACTCTCTATGCTTTCTTGCAGTTGTGCCATTGACCCATTGTCCTGGCTGGATACTGGGTCTAGCCATAGGGCCTGAAAAGTCTGAGGCATTGAGGTAGATGGAAGCTGGCTGACTTCTGATATCAGAGTCATACCAATTCCCTCCTGTTGCTCTCACTGCTATCACTCACTCATGATAGAGCTGGACATTTCTTTTGTACCCATCATTGAAGAGCTGCCCAACCACTCAACTCCCAAGAAATCCTTGGAGGGCTCAAGCAGAGATGTGAGCAGTGCCAGAGACTCATAGTCTGTAATATCTGAGGATGGACTTGTCATCTCCAAACATAGTGTTGGCACTAGGGGTTTGTCAGAAAGGGGGATACTGCAGGGTTGAAGGGTGCTGGAGAGATTCTGGGATATTGCTTTGGAAAGGAGAAGGGGTCCCATTATCCCTTCTTCTGGCTTCATCAGCTGTGAGGACTTCTGCATTTCTTTAATGAAGCAGATCCCAAGGATTGGAGTTGGTGCTGGATTCTCTGAAGACTGGGATTGAGAGGGAATGGTCAGCACAGACTGATGCAAGTATGGATGCAACTTTGGACCAGAGTCCATATCAGTTGGAAATGTCAATTCTTGCCAATCGAGCCCTTTCAGTGGCATGCTGCTCTTTGTGATGTTGCTGGTCATACTCAGCAGCCCTTCTAGCCTGCCCTTCAAGGATGAATCACTCCTCCAACTCACTCCAAGGTGGCTGAGAGATGATTCACTGCCTCTGTTCTTCTTGTCAGAGGGCCTCATCATAGTTAAAGAGGACATTGAGGTCTCAGGCAGAGAATAGCTGGTGAATGATTTTGTTTTTGTTTTCTCAGATCTATTGCTCATTGTCAAGCCAGTCCAAGTGTGTCCTCCCCAGCCCACTGCTGGTTCTGACCGAGTGGTGGGTTAAAGGAGTGGGGCTGTGAGGCTGGCTTCAAGATGTCCTGCAGTGGGGTTCTGCAGCCATCTGAGTGGAACTGAGGGAGTCTCAGGCATGGTTATCAATCCCAGAGGTTCAAGAGGTTTTGGAAGGGTCAAAGGAGGAAGACTGCTGAAAGAAATCTGTTGGAAGGTCTTTGTCCTCATAGTTGGAGATGGGGGCTCACTGCCAAAGATTCCTGAATCCTGTGAGGTGATTGTTGCTGTTTCTACTGACTGGTTGAGGGGGGTAGTGGTGTCTTTCTTCTTCTTGATTGCATCTCTGATGCAGGCTGTTAGACCCAGCTTCTGGTAAGGGGCTGACTGGGGGCTGATGGAATGTTTGTCATGATTTGAGGATATCATGGAGAGGTAGATCTGGGGTTATATTGCAGAGGATATGGCAGATGTGCTGAAATTCATTGTAATGTTGGATGGCTCAGGCAGTAATCAAGTGACATCCCCTGCACAGTTAGATAATCACAAGTAGACCTAAGAGTGTTCTGATGATAGAAGATAGGAGTTTGAAGAACTCTCAATCAAAGTTTGGGTCTGATGAGATGACTGAGGACATTTGGTTTCCTCCACACTATAGTGTATGAGGAAAAGGAAGAAGAAGCTTCAAGCTAATTGTTAGACTCAAGCATCATGTGAACAGATACACATGATAAACAGACATCACCTCACACTTCAGGTGATCAACTGAGTCCACTTGATGCATATTCTGATTGATGTGTCATAAGGCCTGAAGGATTGGCTTGAGGGTAGAATGATATGAATAAACTTTAGCTCAAAGCTGGGGTTTTCCAGTGAGAGTGAGTCTCCTTAAATACTGTATATGTCTGTGCTAATTATACTGCTACCTAATTGTGTGTTGTCACATCTTTTGTGCTCATTGTCTTTGAGCATTATTACTGTATATAAAAAAGGAGTTGTGCATTGTCTAGAAACATTATTGTATCAAAAGACAATGACCAACTCAGCTTAGTTGTGATGATTAAGCTTCATCTCATGGTCTTAAGTGCTCATTCTAGCACTCTGACTAAGTATAAATAGGGGTTAATCAAGGAAAAGAATAGAAAAATTGTAACAAATATCATAATTCTCTTGGATATAGCACCCTGTTAGAGTGAAGTCCAGTGGATAAGCTGAAAGGACTAGTATGTCTGCCAGTGGATTCTCTGTGATTTTTCAGATTATCCAAAACTGTTTTGGCAATGTTGTGGGTATGAGCTTAACACAGTGTTTAATCTTTTTGTACTTCTTTTTCTTAGGCTTAGGCCTTGAGATCTTGAATATGCCTGTTAGTGTAAAGTGAGAGGTATTAGTCTGTATGCTGTTCTTTCTAAATAAATCTATGAACAGAAGATCATGAGGCTGAGAGATATGCTCTAGTGTTAAAACTTGAGAGGTAAATGCAGGCAGTGACCCATCAAAGTGTCTGCCCATAGGCTAGACATAATCCACTAGAGTGGAGATGAAAGTTGAGATATTAAGAAGTGGAGTATTGTTGCAATGTTTGGTGATGATTCTAGCATTCCTGATATAGGGTTGTGACTAGTCCAGATCTAGAGTATGCTTGACCTGATTCTCTATTATAGCTTCAGTGGAAATGGTGTATCTGAGTATAGAGAATACATTTATATGAGCTGATATGCTATCAGCTCCCATCATGAGTGCATATATCTATAGCAAGAAATCTATTGGTAGTTTTTTGATCATAAATAAAGAGTCTCAATTCTCTTTGAGCAGAAAATAGGTCCTTGCTTAAGGAAAATTTATATGAGGATCAAAGGGTGATCATGGCTCATGCATGTGTGGATCAGAGCTCATATGTTCATGGAGCCAGGAGAACAGAGGCCTCTCCCTCTCTTAGGTAGGGATTACTGTTTCTATCTCAGTGTTTGAATCATGAATTGTGAGGATCTGCTCTCTATTAGTATAGTTGTCAATTTTGGTTTTGCAGAGCATAGAGAATGGTCTTTCCAGCAAGACATTGTATGCTGCATTTTCTACTACATGCACTTGCAACAGTGCTTTCAGATTCTTGAAGTTAAAGAGCACATTCCTGCAGAGTCTCAAGAACTATCCTGTTTCTTTATTTGCACTGATAAGCATAATTTTGATATTTGGATCCAGAGATAATCTGCATTGATGCTATATCACAGTGGACATGACTACTACTTGAGATCCTTCATTCAGTATGGACTCCACTTCATGCAGCCTATCAATAACCAGTGTTAAGGCTCTTAGCCCTCCTGCTTCATCTGCTACCATAATGTGCATATGCCACCTGATATGCAGATGTATAGTCAGCAGCTGGTTATTTCCAACTGCTGCTGCTGCTCCAGTTTTTCCAGCTTTGACAGGTACTTTGTGGTTGGTCAGAATCTCTTTTAGCTTATTATAGATCTCTGGACTTCCTCTATATAATTCCTTGATGGAAACCTCCAGTCTGGAGTCTAATATCTATGTGTAGAGGTCATTCATTGTCTCTGATTGAATTATAGAGGCTGCATGCCTGTACTGTTTCTGATAATCCTTTCTTGGATCAGCTGGCACTTTTGCTTCTTTACTGCTTGTCTCATCAGCAGGTGCAGTCTGCCTTTTGGGAGTTCTATTGGCTATGTCTATTTCTTTCACAGGCAGATGCACTGAGTCCTGAGCAGGTGGTTTGCCAGTAGAGGGCACTGAGATGGATGGCTGATTGGCTCCAGCAGATGGTATGACAATCTCCACTTTCTTAAAGGGCTTGCCTGGCTTTTTACCTGCAAACTTGCCATCTCTCTGGTTCTTGACCCTGTTCTTTAGGATCTGCTCAAGCACTCATATGGCTTCATCTTCTTCATCCTTCTCAGATTCAGATTCTAGCTCTTCATCCAGATAGGCTATAAGCTGCAAGGCATAGACCTCTGCATGTCTCTTTATAGATCTGCAAGCTGAGAAAAGATAACTGTTGCATATATATTGGTGTTTCCTGCCTTTGGCCTAAAGCCAAATAGATACACCAGATTTGCTGGACTCATACAGTGCTGGGTTGATATTGTATTGATGGCTGTAGATGAGTCTCTGTTATCCTCATGCCACTTTTCTACCTGCTGTCTGAGGTAACTATTTTCTCTGGATAGCTCAGACCTATTATGTATGACCAGCTTCCTTTTGATATGATTATACTTGATCAGCCCTTTCTTCTGATCTGCTTTCTTAGCTATACAGTCTCTGTAACTGGCATCATACCTATCATATCTGCATTTCTTGCCTGGGTTGTTTCTTTCCACCAGCTTGTTGATAGTGCCAGGAGTCTATCTTTTATGGTCTGTTCAGTTTTATCTCCAGATCCCAACTTCTGAATGGTTACTAAAAGCCTTTCTTCCACAGTAGACTCTGTTTTTAGAGTTACATCTGGCTGGTTATTAAAGAAGGATGTGGCCTGAGAAGCAGATTGTAATGCATGTGGCTGTGCATACTCATATAGATTATAGTATGCCAGAGGTAAACCTGTGGCTGTGGTCTTAGAGAGCTGGTCTATGATGTCTAAAATATTTTCTCCTGGCATTACCACAGGCTGCTGTTCATATAGTGGCAGTGGTGGTATGGCTAGCATCTGGCTTACTGGAGCACTTGATTCCAGCAGAGATAAGAATTCTAAGTTAGCAAAAGACAAGGTAGCTGGACTCAGATTGATGTAGAGGGATCTGTAGCTTTCTAGCTGATATTTGGCAGCTTTATGGACCTCCTCAACAGGAAACAGTTTCATTGGATTCTGATATGGAAATAAAACTGCCAACCTCTGGGCCACTATTATTTGTAGCATTGGATGAAGAGCAGAGACATACATCCTTGCATACTGATGCTTTGAGAGGAGTGGGTCCACTTTGGTAGTGAGGTTCAATCTAATATTCTGGATGTATCTATCAAATCACTTGAATTCATCAAGTGTAGCAATAGATGAAGCTCTAAGGATCCTAGTAGCTTCTTCTAAATGCACAGGTGTGTATCTCTTTATCTCATTGGATTTCAAATAGAAGTTATAGCATTCTTTTTTGAAGATGCCCCATATAGCTCTATCTCTAGTAGCTGGATTGGCTTGGGATAGCCTTCTCCACAGGTCTGCAGCTGTTGGATCCATATATAAAATAGCCACCTGGATGAATTGCCAGTCAGTTTCCTATCCTACACTTTCACATGTCCATTGGATTTCTTCAAAGAAGATTGGTAGAATCATTGAGTCTTCTGATCCTTTCCACCTTCAGCTGGAGGCTTTTCCAGATCCTCTGATAGGCAGCTAGTAGTTCAGGACATGCAGTTGTTGCTGATCTGCCATGCTGAAATAAAGGTGAACTCACCAGTTTCTGGATCAGTGGTAGGTTCTGGTGATTGAGAAAAGAGTTAGAGTAGGTAGAGGACTTAATGCTTCTTTTTTGTCTGATCAGGTTCTGATCTGATTGTGCTCTGATGAGTAAGGCTGGTGTTGCTGTAGATATGATGCTGACCTCAGGTGGATGGATGTTTCTGCTACTTGACTCATAGCAGGTGAGATTGGTGATGTTGGTGATGGTGGATTCAACTCCTCTAGAATTCTTCTGAACTCTTCTTCATATGTTGAGATGAAAGAGAAGTCCAAATGAAAGTGGTATGACTCATTGTCTGGTATGACCTGAAAGAGATCCTCTTTAATGTCTATCCTGGAGCTGGTGGCAACTTATGCAATCATTCTTAAAGCTTCTGCTTCTCTTTGTTGCAAAGTGGAATATAGAGTGCTTTTTCTATCAGCAATTTTTTAGATTTATTCTCTCTCATAGTGGGCTCTGCTTGTAGGGTTAGCAAACTCTCTGGTGCAAGAAGAATGCATCTGCTCTTGCAAGTCATTTTATAATCACAAGAGAGAAATTCAGCAGTTCAGATTGAATCTGACAGAATTCACCTGGAGTAATTGGCTTATTGATAGTACAAGCTCTGGCACCTGCTTTAAGGATGGATGAACAGAATATGAGCAGAATGTGAAAGGAATAAGGGAGAGATTACAAGGGTTGCTTCAAGCTGCCTACTTGTGCAATATCAGACTTGAAGGCTTCTAGATATGCTTTATGGTTTTAGCTTGTAGAAGACTGGCAGAATTTTATTCCTTAGCTTTGTACTATAAAAGTTGGTTCTCTTTCTATCTACAAGGTTCTCCTTTAGATACCAAAGGCCTGAAGGTCTGTTCCCTTATCAGTGACAGCTCCTATGAGTGCCTAGACCATCTCTTTCAGAGCCTTACCCAAATCATACCAGTGTGACACTGCCAACTCACTCTACAGATCTGCCATCTGCACTCAAATCAGCTACACCTTCTGTATTTGATGTCTTCTTGAATAGCTTTACAAGGCTATCCATGTCTGATCCACCTCTGATCAGATGAAGCATTCATCTATGCACAGGCTCTGGCTGATAAGTATCCACTTCTAAATGCAGACACAGCATTGAAGTTGCATGCCAGACACAAAGGAGATGACAGTAAACAGCTGTTCATTATTGTTTTGCAGGTTATCAATTGCACAGTGGATCTCTGGACAGATTGTATCAGTGTTCTGTTGCTTGAGCTACAGTAGAAGAATAGCTTCTCATTTTAAAAGTAGGATGCTCACTGCTCAGCTTCTTTGATGCTTTAGTGGATTTAGAGTCAGGAAGACCAAAATTTTGTGCTCATGATATCATGATGTAGCACACTGGCAATATTCATTGCTATCTCTTGTTTTGATAAAACAAAAAGCTTTGAGACTTAGAGAGGTCTGAGACAGTTGTACACATACTATTGCTATTCACATGCAGTGGAATCATTTGAGAAGACAATCATATTTGCTATAGCTATTATATTATATTATAATCTCTCTAATGAACTAAAAAGTGTTGTGTATGTGTTGGTATGATTGTGATCAGTAGATAGCACTCTGCTATACCAGTTTTTATCTTGTGCACATGCAAAACCTCTTCAATATGCTGAGAATGTGAAACTATAGATAAAGCTTGAGCTTTAGCCTCAGATTTGACTGAATCTCCCACTTTCTCTTACTAGTACAACAAGCTATCAGTATCATGAAAATAGTCAATTACAAAAAGAAAGTATAGCTCAACATTGATTCAGTGAGTTCTGATTCCCTTCTCCTGCTCAAATTTACCATTGTAACTACAATTACTCAATTACCTCTGAAAGGATCATGATGATGCAATTTCCATTCTTCTTACCCTTCACAGTCCTCAAATTGAATTACTAGAAATTTCTATGGTATATTTGTTTGAATAGTCATCATTTAAGGTTAGCTGCTGATAATTTGAATTTTTTCAGACTCATAGAAATGCTCTGAGTGATCTGACCACCATCAATGCTGCAAGGTGTTTGTTAGCATTCAGCACAAGATATAATACCTTGACATATATTAGACTCTACTTTCTTAATCTTTTACATTCCTATGCTGATATTATTCAACTAAATAGATTACTGTTCTCTATTATGCTTATTCTTATCTCTATGATCTTATTTTACATCTGTTTCTTATCTATTTGAATTAACCAGTACTCTATAAATCTTTGGGATATAGTAGATAGACAACTTTTTTTTTGAATTGAAGTATCACTTATCTGGTCTCTGCTTTGCTCAATTAAGAGTTCTCACATAATGAAACTGTGACTTGTCCCACTTTTATTATATATTTTTGACCTCTTAACACTTTGATAACTCAACTATCACTTTGCCTCTTCATCTATCACACCAACTAAACCAACAACAGCCTTGGTGAATGCTGTCACAAGAAACCCTTCAGTCTGATCAACTGAAATGATCTAAACAATGACCATCAAAAAAAATCTCTGCTTTTCTCTCTTTCTTTCTCTCTGCTTCTATCTCTGCTTTTTTATACTATTATAATATCCAGCTTGACTTACAATCTCCACAGTGCAGAGAATGTTATAACACCAGGTGACTGATCTATAAGTCCAACTTGAGCTGCTTATTGTGCTCTGAAAAATTTACAGAGTGAGCCATCATTTTCTGAATCTCTGTCTGACCTTTCTTCTTTGCCCTTAGATAGGACAGCCCTCAATAG